AGATGGGCAATCTACTAGTTTTAACGTACCGTATATCAAGATCTTTATCTTTGCACACAAAAATTTGTTCAGAAATGTTTGTTGGTAGTCACAACAGTGTTTATCTAATCACAAAGAACTACAATAACAATTTTGTGACTTTGGCCTGACCTGTTTGTGCACGTGACTTAGACGTGGAGTTTATTTGAAGTCTGCGTGCAAATGTAAGGCGATTGAGCTATAGAGTTGCTTAGTTTCTGATCGAAAAGCTAGTGGACCAAAAAATTTAATAAATAGGTCTCGTATGAGCAACCAGTTCTTTCACTTTATGCGTAGTGATGAACTTAACACAACGTTGTTCATCGTAACGTATACTTATCCCATTGTTGTATACCGTGACTTACACTTATCACAATGTCATTCACCACGATGTACTTAGTCCAGTATTATTCACTATAATATATAGTTACTCCAGTATTATTCACCGTGATGTATACCCATTCCACTGTTGTTCACCATAATGTGTGCTTACTCCAGTGTTATTCACCGTAATATATACCCATCCCATTGTTGTATACCGTGACTTACACTTATCACAATGTCATTCACCACGATGTACTTAGTCCAGTATTGTTCACTATAATATATAGTTACTCCAGTATTATTCACCGTGATGTATACCCATTTCACTGTTGTTCACCATAATGTGTGCTTACTCCAGTGTTATTCACCGTGACATATACCCATCCCATTGTTGTATACCGTGACTTACACTTATCACAATGTCATTCACCATGATGTATGCCTGTCCCAATGTTGTTCACCATAATGTGTACTTGGTCCAGTATTATTCACCATAATATATAGTTACTCCAGTATTATTCACCGTGATGTATACCCATCCCACTGTTGTTCACCATAATGTATACTTACTCCAGTGTTATTCACCATAATATATAGTTACTCCAGTGTTATTCACCATAATATATAGTTACTCCAGTGTTATTCACCATAATATATAATTACTCCAGTGTTATTCACCGTGATGTATACCCATCCCACTGTTATTCACCATAATATATAGTTACTCCAGTGTTATTCACCATAATATATAATTACTCCAGTGTTATTCACCGTGATGTATACCCATCCCACTGTT